ATGAGGTACTCGGCAGGTCCAGCTTCGACTTCTTCCACCCCGACGAGGTACCCTTTGCCCGATCCGTGCATACTCGTGGCGTCTTGCTGGACAAGGCTGCCGTCCTGCACTATGCACGTATCCTCTCTCGCGATGGCCGTTGGGTAAGCTGCGAATGCTGTTTCACCATTGTCCACGATGTCCTCGTCGCATGTACTAGTATCTACCGCCGGGGTGAAAAGAGCGAGAGTATGTTTCTCGATGGATCAAGCAGCCATGCTCGGTCAACACTGTCATGTGGCAGATACTAACCCGATATACAGGGCGTGCCATTGAAGCACCGCAGATTCGACGCATCTTTTCTTGTTCCCCCCGAGACCCGCGCTACCATATGTTGGAGCACCTGTCGCCTAAATTCAAGATGTCGCCGATGGAGCGCGAGCCTCGAGCGGCCCTTATCTTAAATCGATTCACCCGGACCCTGACTGTCATGTTCGCTACCGAAGCCATTGCCTCTATCCTTGGTGTGTCTGCCGACCAAGTTCAGTACAAGAGCTTCTATGAATGCATCCGAGAAAGCTCTCTGGACGACGCTTTCAAGTGCCTTGAAAGTGCCAAAGCCAACGACTCGATTGCATATCTGCGCTTCTGGTCAAGAGACCCTCGAAGACCGGAGGACTTTGAGAACGAAGCCAGCAACGACGAATTAGACGACGGAGAGGACGCTGAGGAGGAAGAGGAGCAATTCGAGGAACACTCTGTCACACCACCTCGAAACCAAAGCACACCAGGACACGGGTCCTTAACACCAAAGAAACCGAACCATCTGCCTGAAAGTCGACGGTCTAGCGACTCGGAAGGAGGTGGTGTGAAGTTGGATAGGGCCATGGACCTTGACTCTAATCGGCAGATAAGCCCTCAGATCAAGGTTGAGGCAGACGTCGAGATGCAAGACAGTGGCTCGTTGAATGACGAGTCATCATTTGAATCACGGACTGCAAGCTCGGCAGCTATGGCTTCTATCTCCCAGCCCGACAGCTATGAAACGCCTCCCACGCCGCAATCCCCGAGATCGATGGGACCTTCTACCCCTAGCTCCCGAAGAGCTCGCAGCCAGCCAAGACAGCGACTTGCCCCGTCTGTCGAGTTGGAGGCAGTTGTTTCGTGCACTTCTGATGGGCTTGTCGTCATCTTGCGTCGAGCAAGACCGCAGATCCCGAATTTACACCCCCCTTTAGTCCCTTCGCATTTCGACAACGGCCTCTTTGCCGCTCCGTGGGGCCAGCAACCCATCCAACCTCAATGCCCACCGGAAGTGCTGTACAACTTTCGACCTCCACTGCTGCCGCAGCACATGCCACTTCGAGAGAACGTCAAGGCTGCGGGAGGTCCTCCGATCGACCAATTGATGCGGTCTATCCGAGATGTCGCTGTGTTCGCCTGGGCTCTCGTGGGAATAAATGGGAATCTGGCCTCATACAGTCACGGCCAACCAATGGGAGAGTCTCAACCACCAGATGGTCTTCCCGTTTGGGATCCTGCCGCAGCACAAACATCCTATCAAGGACCCGAGAACCAAGCCGCCCAACGTTGGGCGAGAGAGCGCCAACAACAAGGGGCGCAATTCATGCGACGTGATTCATTATCTACAGGCTATCATGCGGATGGGCCTGGAAGTCGCAACACATCTGGCATGGGATATGAGAATTATTCCTTGAATGGCTATGGAAACCGCGGAAACCAATGGTACTCGCAACTGCCATCCTTTCAGCAACGCCAGGATGGGCTGGCACAGGATTACTGCTACAGAGAGCAGATGGATTCGAGAGCGACGGCTCCTTCGGATTACATGGGTACAACAACACTTCCACCACTGAACGGGTGGAGTGACGTGCACCAAAGACTGGGGAGCTCTCAGGTACCCTCTACAATGGCCGAGGACCCCCAGCACCATCGCTACAGGTGGTATTAATGCACAATTTTGAAAAGTGAGAGGTCAAAGGACAAGGAAGGTAATGTAATGAAGTATGACGAGCATAGAAGTTGGCGTCTTGATGCTGCTCCTCATCGCCCCCGGCAGAATTGGAAACCCCGGATTCGAGGGAGCTGACCGGGACGGGTGCAGTATTTGTTGCAAGTGATGAACTCTTAGAATTTGTCCTAGATACCCATAATATTTGAGCGATAGCGGAAATGATAATTGTGTGTTTCAAGTCTTTTTGTTCCTGACAATGTTTCGTGATGTGAGACGGAGTGGGTTTGCTGTCAGTGTCCATCCTCCACCAATATAGCCCTACCGTGAAGGCAGCCAATAAAATATCTAGCTAGCATTGGTCTCCATGCTGTAAGGCACGGGTTCTTTGGTCTTGATAAGGCACTGGACTGGATAAAGAGTCCTTAGTATTGGATTTCAAGGGATGATGGGAATGTACGTACCGTGTCTCGTTTGGGTTGGCGGAAGCATGTGATTGGTTGTGGCCAATTAGAAGCTTGGGCCACCTTTCGTCAAGGGGTTGTTTCTGTAGAGGCAACCGTGGAAGTTTCGCAGAGGGCGATACGTCAGCTCCACGCTCAGCAACTTTCAACCATCAAAGCCGCGACATCGTCGAGCGTCGAACGCAGCGAAAACCCGATACGAGGAGAATCGCGAGACTTTGAAGACAGCCCCACGACCGTCTTCAACCTACGAATTATCACCGGATCTCCAACACCCTCGCAGGCAGCTTAAACCATGTCTGCGTCCAGCGCTCGAGGGCACTATGCCAACCCACCCCTGGAGGATGAGGACGACGATCTGATTGATCCTGATGATGGTATGTGGTTACCGTCTTTGCTTCAGCTAGATATTGAAGGCAGGAGATTCTTGGAGTGCTTGTGGAAGCTTACACCAGCATAGCCGATCTCAACGATTTCGATGACCCCCTTGCGACCAATTCATCCCGTCAGCCTCTGTCAGGCAACATCGGCTCCAGCTCATCATCGCAACCGCTGAACGAAGGCTACCTCACCTCCCGAATCCCCGGAGAAGACCGACGAGCCCCCCAGAACACAATTGACGAGTCAGTATGGGACACCTTGCGTCGCGACCTGCTTGCCGTATGGGCCAAGCTGAGGGAGGTTCTGTACCCGCGCTACCTCTTGGGTGGCACCATGTTTGATTCCGAGGGAGGTCTACGCGGCGCGTACTCCAATATCCGCGGTGCCGGTATCTCGGGCACGAGAGAGGAGCTGACCGGACTGGCGAGCCGTATGGTGGATGCTGAGGCTCTGCTCCAGAGCAACATGACCCCTGGTCTACGCGACTGGGACCTCTGGGGACCTCTCATCTTCTGTCTTCTCCTCAGTCTCCTCCTGAGCTTCACTGCTCGCGGCGACCAAAGGGATGCCGTGTTTAGCGGTGTCTTTGCCATGATCTGGCTGGGCGAAGCTGTGGTGACATTGCAGATCAAGCTGCTGGGAGGCAACATGTTCGTCTTAACCCAAGTTCCCTTTGCGTGTGTTGTGGATTCGCTAACATGTCATGAAGTTCCTTTGCTCAGAGCGTTTGCATCATTGGTTATACCCTGTTCCCTCTGGTCCTCGCTGCGATGATGTCTGCCCTGGGCCTCCACTGGATTGCCCGCATCCCCGTCTACATCATTCTGATTGCCTGGTCCCTTGCCGCCGGTGTTAGCATCCTGGGTGGAAGCGGTGTGGTGAAGAACCGAGTGGCCATCGCTGTCTACCCGCTACTCGTATTTTACCTCGGCCTGGGTTGCTTGTGCTTCATCAGCTAAACCCCCACTCAGCCTCTGAGAGGATGCTTGCTTCTGGTTTGTCGAGGGGCACGGAAAGGGGGTGTTTCGAGCTCTCGAGGTTTAAAATCTGGCTCATGTACTTTTACTTGTGATGAAAAGGGATTCATTCTACTAGAACTGCGGTGTTGGACGCGGTCGAACAAGTGTCGTCAGATGACAGACACCAAGGACTTTCTGTATCTCGTTGGGAATTTGTATCCATTGTTATCTCGTACCTACTTTTAGAATTTGAAGTGAAACATGCGCATGTTATTTTCCGGCGTAACGCATCTTGGTGGACACGGTATGCAAAGGGGACAAGCTTGATCATCTGTGAGAAGCTCAATGACGAACAGGTCACTGTCCATGCTGCTCCACGGTGAGCTTGCCACTGACTTACACCAGCTTGCCATCTATCCCACACCGCCCTGTCTCCCGTCTTCCCCGGCGAGCTGCCTCCATGGATTCAAGGATTCAAGCATGCTAGAACCCCTGCCGCAGCTGAAGACGACGAACGGGCGTCTTGGAGATTGGCGATGTGAGCCATTCACAGCCACTGGTCGAGGGCTAAAGCAAGGGACCCGACGAGACGCCCTGGCCGAGGTGCTGGGGAACAATGGACGGCTGATACATTAGCTCGAGGTACATGCTGGCAATGTCGACCCCCCCCCCCCCCCTTCCCCCCGATTTCCAATTACGAGTACATCCATCTTTCTTAATGTCAGCCTTTTTTATCATACATAAAGCTAAACGATCTATCACAACTGTTGTTCGTCCCCGTTCCCTCTTTTGGGGGCTGAGATTGATTACCCCTCCTTCCGGCGCCTAGGCGCCAGCCCAGCCAGGCCAGGCCAGGCCAGGCCAGGCGTGGGCGGTGAAGGTCTAGTTTGGTTTTGGTTATTTTGACGTCGGCGACTCTACATTCTCTTGATTGGAGGAGAGCGCTCAAGTCCTCAACCGCCAGCCAGCCAGCCGACCTTCGTACCTAGTCCAGCATTGACGAAGACCCAACTCACACAACCCGCGAAGCCTGATCTCGAAACCAACGCATCGCATCATTCCTTGACTCTGACAGGAGCACGAGAAAACCTCGTCTGTCACTTCTTATTCGATCGTAGATTCAGTAACGAAACGAGCCTGAAACTATCTATCTCTGCGGTACCCGATCAGCTAGCAATCAATCTCGTTCGTGCCCTCGTCAGTCCCGCCGTCATCACGCCCGCCGAGCCGCACAGCCAGCCCGCCATGGCCGACGACGCACCCGACGCCAGCCCCAAGAACGAGCCCCTCAACATCGAGACCAAGGAAGACGCCGAGACCCGCGCTGCTCGTCGGGAGCTTAAGCAGTCATCCATCTCTGATACAACACCGTCGGCCGCAGAGGGCTCCGACACGGCCAATGCCTCTGATGCGCCAGACAGCGACCTGAAGGATCAGGTTGCGTCGCCCAAGAAGAAGCGCGCGCACGACCAGCTCGAGGGCGGCAAGGAGGCCGAGGACAATGATGCGAACAGCGTTGCATCCACCGATTCCGCCAAGGACAGGGCCTCGCGACTAGAGCCCGAGAAGAAGCGTCCTCGCGATGAGGACTCCAACGACGCAGAGCCAGTATGCCGCCTCGAACGTCCTTTGAAGCGCGCCAGGCAGACCGCTGACTCTACACAGACTTCAACAGCTGCCTCGAGCCAAGAAGCGACCAAGGAGGACGAGGCCGGCAAGTCGACAGCCAAGAATGCTCAACCACAAACCTCTGCCAGCGCTTTTGCCTCCTCCGGCTTTGGCAAGCTGTCCTCTGGATCATCGCCGTTCGCTAGCCTCGGCGGCTCTCAGGGCGGCAGCGTATTTGGCTCTGCTGCCGCTGGCAAGCCCTCGCTTAGCTCATTTGCGTCCCCAGCTCCATCCACGGATGCGCAGCCCCCCGCCGCACCGAAGTTGACCTTTGGCAGCACCAGCGGCGCATCGCCCTTTGCCGGTCTCTCTTCTGGTACTAATGGTTTCGGAAGCGCATTCGGTTCGAGCGCCTTTGGATCTGCCCTGGGGGGTACCAAGCCCCTCTCGAGTTTCGCGGCCCCTGGAAAGGAACCTCTTAAGAGCGAGAAGCCTGCCAGGCCTTTTGGTGCTCCCGAGAGCAGCGACGACGAAGAGGAGGACGGTGACGAGGATGGCGACGAGAATGAGCCCCAAGAGGTTGAGCGCGCCCTGTCCCCAGAGAAGGATTCCGACGAGAAAAGGAAGCTGAAGCTTCAGAAGAGTGGGTACTTATCATCCATAACGCCAAACTTGATGCTGACAATAACTAGTCGAGGTGAACGATGGCGAAGACGGCGAGGCTACGATCATATCTGTGAGGGCCAAGATGTTCTATCACGATAAGGAAGCAGGCTGGAAGGAGCGTGGCGCAGGCATGTTGAAGATCAACGTACCCCAAGCCTGCGTCGAGTACGATGACAACGGTGCTGTCGTCCCTGGATCATTTGATGCTTCTGCGCTAGAAGTCGATGACCCAGAAAGCGCAAGCGCTCACGGGCACAAGGTTGCTCGTCTTATCATGAGACAGGATCAGACTCACCGAGTCATTCTCAACACAGCGCTTGTGGCAGCCATGAAGTTCCAAGAGAAGGCTTCGCTGAAGTCAGTTGGAATTCTCTTTACTGCCTTTGAGGGTGAGCAGGCAAAGCCTGTGAGCATTACCATGCGGGTGAGTAGCAATGGCCTGACCTCGTCTGTGTGCTGTGATATTGACAATGTACCGCTCAGATGACTGCTGCCAATGCTAAGGGCTTTATGAATGAGATCGGCGTCATCCAAAGGGAACTCCGGAGCAGCTAGAGGTTGCGACAGTGTATATTCTCGGACACCACGCCGAGCCCATAATGATTCAACGTCCGGTCACCCAGCCCATTCGGGTTCGCGAACAAAGATTTGTATGGATGACGGCAAGGACAGGCAGGCTAGACGCCGATGCTGGAGCAATTGGCAGGGCAATCATCAGCCTGAAAGGATACAGGGCATTGCCCGGCTTGGAACAGACGTGCTGTGCAAGGGAACAAGGGATTTGCTTGCGCTACACTTCAGCTTGGTAACCGGAATCATGGATAGAATTGTGTAATCATAGCTGGGAGCATTGCTGGACCATAAGGGAGCTATAGTACAACTCCCCGGGCGTAGAAACAGACGAACGGGAGGGGAAACGCAGCCGTGTGCTGGTCATGCAGTCGTATTCACAATATAAATGCAGTTTGTATCTGAAGAGCTCAGTCTAAGAAGAGGCTATTTCTACCTACACAGGCACTGTTGTTACTGCCAATGTTCGTTGCAATTGAAGTTGAACGAATGAGCCACACGTGATTTGGCGTTGATTCCGCGAATGCCTGGTTCTGGATGACGTCGCCACTTTCACGTCTCACGTTCTCCTTTGAGGACGACTCGAAACAAGGCACTATTGATTGGCAGAGCGTCCACATATCACTTCACTCCCTGAACACCAGTGATGATACCCCATTTTGTTGCAGCATGACAGACTCCCGTGAGCCTGGCATGGCTGATAGGCCGCCTGCCTCATCGAGCAGAGGGAAACGAAAACGTGAGCCTGATCGAGAACCTCGTGATGAGAGCCCAGCTGCAAGTGAATCGAGCGGATCGGGATCTAAACGAGGCGCCAAAGGAAGTAAAGGAAAGCCGAGTCTCAAGAAGCAAGCCAGCAACGTCGTGGTGCCCTGTGTCATGGAATGGCCAGAAGCGTTCAAGCAACTAGAGAAGACACATCGCGCACTCAGCCTTGTGTATACCTTTTGCACAACACGGAAACACCTCGCTACAACATTCGACACGATAAAATCGGCCGTGGAAGCTCACACAAAACGAGACCTCTCAATTGAAGAGATTGCATCGATGGTAGCACTTCGCCCAGAGGGCATCTACTTCGCCTACGTTGACGAGGTTATGCTGCAACTCGACATCAAAGGATCAGAAAGAGATGATGTTTTCAGAAACGGAAGGTCGTCAAGGTCGCAGGCTCCAGCTCACGACGCGTCGGTTGGCGGATATTCCGGCATGGAGAGTCTTGACAAGCAATACGATCGCGAACTCGAGCCCACGGGACGGGAGGTGCTGTTTCTCGAGTTTCTCGATGGTGATCTAAAGCGTCAGGTCCCCAGTAAGACAGGGGAACCGACGAACCCAAACAGAAGGTTGAGAGCGGAGCAGCTGAGGATGCCCGTCTTCAGCCAAAAGCAGATGACGAACCTCATTGAGAGGCGGAACCAAAAGTTTGCGAATGCTATCAATGTCTTTCTGAACAAGTGTGTCGAAGACAAACTGGACCCGCAGGAGGCCCTTACAGAACGGACAAAGAGCCACATCCCGATGCCATCAACGAACGAAGACTTTTCCCCAGAGAAGGCAGCAGACTCTATACCGGAGAGTATTCCAAAAGAACGAAAGTCAATACCTGAGATTGTTCAAGAGCTCAAAGACAGCCCGTGGTATACGGGACAGATTGTCCCAGACGGACATCGAGTATTTGAGCAACAGGAACCTGTCTATGGCGATCTCAACTTTCTACTGAGCCAGGATTTGGTGAATGCTCTGTACAACGCCAAAGGGATCACTAAGTTCTACGCACATCAATCAGAAGCTCTCAACAGTCTTCATGATGGCCAGCATGTCGTCGTGTCAACGTCAACAAGCTCTGGAAAGAGTTTAATCTACCAACTTCCGGTGCTCTACGCCCTTGAGCAAGATTACAACTCCAGAGCCATGTACATTTTCCCGACAAAAGCTTTGGCACAAGACCAGAAGCGGAGCCTGAAAGAGATGATGGGTTACATGCCTGGTCTCGAAGAAACCATGGTTGAGACCTTTGACGGAGATACTCCTATGACCGATCGAAACATGATTCGAGAGCAAGCGAGGATCATCTTTACCAACCCGGACATGCTTCACATCACCATCCTACCTCAGGAGGAGCGCTGGAGGTCATTCTTGAAGAATCTCAAGTACGTTGTTGGTAAGTGCCGAGGACAAGTGCTTATGCGGTGAGGCAGCACTAATATCAGCTTACAGTGGACGAGTTGCACTACTACAACGGCCAGATGGGATCCCACATGTCATTTATCATGCGAAGGCTAAGGCGAATTTGTGCTGCCGTAGGAAACCGACGCGTCAAGTTCATCTCTTGCTCAGCCACGGTAGCCAACCCTGAGCAGCATTTCAAGACGATATTCGGCATTGACAACGTCCGCCTGATAGATTTCGATGGGTCCCCATCTGGACGGAAAGAGTTTCTCTGCTGGAACACGCCCTACAAGGACCCTGGTGACCCTGCTTCTGGACGCGGCAGTGCCAAGTTCGAGTGTGCGCGTCTCTTCTGCGCCCTCATGTTGAGGGGAGTGAGGATCATTGCATTCTGCAGGGTCAGAGCCCAATGTGAGGTGCTGGTTAGCGCCATCAAGCAAGAATTGGAGGCCTTGGGGCGTCCAGAATGCATCAACCTCGTGATGGGATACCGTGGCGGTTATACGGCACAGGACAGACGCAGGATTGAGACTGAAATGTTTCAGGGTCAGCTCCTGGGAATTGTCGCGACTACGGCGCTGGAACTAGGCATCGACATTGGCTCGTTGGACTGTGTCATGACCTGGGGTTTCCCGTATACTATTGCCAATCTGCGTCAACAGAGCGGCAGGGCTGGACGCCGCAACAAGGATTCGCTGTCAATCCTGGTTGGCGACGGGTTTGCTACCGACCAACACTACATGCAGAACCCGGACGAGCTATTTACAAAGCCCAACTGCGAGCTGCAGGTTGACCTGGAGAATATGCTGGTGCGTGAAGGCCACATTCAATGTGCGGCTTACGAGATGCCCATACGTCCAAATGAGGACAAGAAGTACTTCGGCAAAGACTTGCCGAAGATCTGCGACGAGCGCTTGCTGAGGGATGAGATGGGGTTCTACCACTGCCACGATCGATTTCGACCAATCCCTGCAAAGTACGTTGCTATTCGAGACACGGAAGATGAGCACTTTGCTATTATCGACATTACAAACGGGCGAAACGTCGTGTTGGAAGAGCTGGAGGCCTCCAGGGCGACGTTTACCATCTACGACGGTGCCATCTTTCTTCACCAGGGCAACCCGTACCTTGTACGAGACTTCCTCCCTGACAAGAGGATGGCCAAGGTGGAAAGGGTCAAGGTGGACTGGACAACTGTGCAGCGCGACTATACTGATATCGACCCTACTGAGACGGAAGCCATTAGGACTATTCCAGGGTCGCGCTCACATGCCTACTATGGTACTATCAAGATTCAGCAAAACGTGTTCGGCTTCTTCAAGGTTGACCGGAAGGGACGGGTACTTGACGCAGTGCAAGTGGACAACCCGCCAGTCATTCGTTTCAGCAAAGGGATGTGGCTTGACGTCCCCAAGAAGGCCATTGATATCCTTCAGACACGACGGCTTCATGTGGCAGCTGGGATTCATGCAGCAGAGCATGCCATCATGAGTCTACTACCGACGTTTGTCGTCAGCATGCCCGGCGACGTACGAACCGAGTGTAAGATTGCAAAAAAGGAGTTTGCAAAACAAGAGACTCAGAGAAAGCGGCCAGCGCGGTTGACATTCTACGACGCCAAAGGAGGCGCAGGAGGGTCAGGTATCAGCACCAAAGCATTTGATCACATCGACCAGCTGCTACGGGATGCCCTGCAGCGAGTTGAAGGTTGTCGGTGTGAGCGAGGCTGTGTGGAATGTGTAGCATCAGAGTTGTGCAAGGAAGCTAACGAGGTGATGAGCAAGGCGGGAAGCCAGGTGGTTCTCAAGACGCTGCTAAACATGGAAGTGGACGTGGATGAGCTACCGATGGGCCCAGAGCTGAACACGCCTGTGGGCATCGAGACGGTGGTGGTCGCAGAGGCTGTGCCATACCGTACCAAAGATGCAGTGTTTGGGAACAAGCCGGCAGTGCAGGAGGGCCAAGGCTCGTCCGGGGACGTTTCTGGGGACGCTGCCAAGCCAGGAGGTTCTGGAACTCCAGATGGCGACGGGGGGTTCGAGAGGTGGCTTGGGGGTTCAATGTAAGCATATGGACTTTTGGGGGGCACCAGGGCGAAGCTAGCGTAGGACGGACGGAACACGGCACGTTGGTACGAATGAGACGAGTTACCCCTGTCGAGGTTGAGGAACAAGCTTTTTTTGAGTTCTGGTGCTAGACAGCAAATGATGGCGGGCTAGTTGGCGAGATATGATTTGGTCTAGACCTTGAGATTAGTGTAGAAACAAGATTGAGGTTTTGGAGATTGCAGCAGGAGAGCGGCGTGGAGAGAAGATAGCGATGGATGAAGCGATCAACACAGGTTGCTAAACATGCAATGATGTCGTCTCGCGGTAGTTGATGTACTTGTTCCTTGTCGGAGTGAGATTGTGACGTAGCGCTTGGCGATCTCGCGCATGCCCAGAGCCAAGGCTGTGCCAAGCAATCTTAACCCACGACCCGAAAAACAACGGCTGGGCCCGCTGTGGCTGGTCATAGACGCCCGCAGATTTGCCCTGGCCTGTTGCTGTGGAAAGATGGAATGAGGAGCCAAGACAAGATCGTCTGGAGATGCCGAGCTCTGTGTTGAGTTGGGCTTCATGCTGTGGGGAGAAGGAGGAGAAGCAAAGGATTCAGAGCCCTACTGTACAGTGGCCATGCAGCCAAACTTGGTAGGGGACAAAGACAACAATTCGTTGACCGCATCCACAACCTCGAATCATCCCAACGTCCTCCCATTGGCATCGGATCTATTGGACCAAACCATCAATGAACTTGCAGGGGGCTAGACCCATTGACCCGCCAAGGACCCAGACACTGCGCCCAGAAAGGGGATCAAGGGCCAGCGCAGGATGGGGGGCCCCAGGGTGAAACAACATTCAGCTCGGCAACGAATGGTCACTCAACGTAACGAAAAAGGACCAAAGTGCATTCAATGCCACATGGTGGTGCCGTCTTGGCATCTAAAGCTTAGAGATGGGGTATTCAGAAGTCAGACTATCCTTGCTTGCTCCTTCCTCGGGTGAAGCGGCCTCCTCCCTCCTGCCCTGGTATATCATGGACGAGGGCTGCACACTAAAGCACGCCTTCGTTCCAGACATGGTGGTTGTCCTCTCTTAAGCTTAACAAACAAGAATTCGACCGCCACAACTCAAACACGGGCGCTACGCTTCCCGGAGCGGTCTGGTCTGGTCTGGTCTACACCTACTTCCGTCGTCGTGTCTCGAAACGACTGGCCCCAAAACCTGGCCCGGCTCCCTCCCACCCCGGAGATTGGCCCGTACATATAACCAAGCCGTCATGCCTCATCAATCCCCGCCCCCCTCGCCCTCGCGGGAGGCATATTACCCCCTTAACAACCTGCGAGACACTGGGAGTGAGGACCGCACTCTTCCTGCACCCACCACCTACGACGAGTTCAAGAAGAGCAAGAAGATGGACCACTACACCAGGACCACGCGATGGATCAAGCCTGCTGGCGAGAGTGGTCGCAAGGGCTTCCATCCTATACACTTTACCAAGATCTCGTTCAAGTCGGCCAGTCGAGCTAGTTTGCTCTGCAATTTGCTCTGGCCTGTTGTACCTGCTGCCATTGCTGTTCGCTGTAAGTCGAATCTGGTGATGGTGTTGAACTCCATTGTTAACATGTCTCGACTAGATGCTCTTCCCGACCACCACACTCTCATCTTTATTCTCGCCTACATCGCCATGGTCCCTTGTGCCAACATGATTGGTTTTGCCGGCCAAGAACTCGCCCGAAAGCTGCCTCATGTCTTTGGCGTTCTTACTGAGATCACGTATGGCTCTATCATCATTTCCCCCACAATCCATACTAATTGCTTCCAGTATCGGTTCCATTGTCGAAATTGTTCTTTTCATGGTTCTTCTAAACAAGAACATGTACTTCGTTATCAAGGCCGCCATCCTGGGTTCCATCCTTGCTACTATGCTTTTCTGCTTGGGCGCCTGCTTCTTTGTGGGTGGACTACTTGAGGAGGAACAGACATTCAACGAGGCGATCAGCGAAGCCGGAAGCGGTTTGCTCTTCACTGCGTACGTTTCACTAAAAACATGTTGTATCTTGGAGTATCAGCAACTAACACGTCACCAGTGGTGTCGTTCTCGCCCTACCAACCGTTTTCGAGCATGGTCGATTTGCCGGCAACAGCGACTCGGAAACAGAAGTTGAGCATCAGACGCTGCAGATCTCTCGTGTCATCTCGATCCTTCTCATCATTGCCTACATCGTCTACGTCTTTTTCCAGACGCGAACTCACCACGGTATCTACGACGCCATCTTCGAGCACGACGAGCACCGTGACAAGGACAAGCACAAGGACATTGACAAGGCCAAGCTCACCCTGACCGAGTGTATCCTTGCGCTGGCCATCTCTGTTGCTCTTGTGTCACTCATGGCCGTCATCCTGGTCTTGCAGATCCACCATGTTATTGAGAGGGGAGATGTGTCTGATGCCTTCATGGGTCTTATCCTGGTACCTTTTGTCGAGAAGTTTGCCGAGCATCTCACCGCTGTCGACGAGGCATGGGACAACCAGATGAACTTTGCCCTCTCCCACGTTCTCGGTGCTACTCTGCAGACCGCTCTCTTCAATGCACCCCTAGCCGTCATCGTCAGCTGGGGTCTTGGCAAGGAGCTGGATCTCAACTTTGATGTCTTCAACTTGGTCATGCTTATTCTCGGTATCCTAACTGTTGGACGATTTCTTCAGGACCAGAAGAGCAACTACCTGGAAGGTTTCCTGCTCATGATTCTCTACGTGGCCATTGCCGTTGGTGCGTGGTACTACCCTGACCCCGTCGAACACGGAGCTTCTGGTGCAAGTGAGGGTGCAAGCGAGGGTGGCCACTAATCAACAACAAACGGAACGCTTCACCATAAACCAGACGAAACATTACATTACGATATGATGACTAGGAATTACTTGGTGTTTGCTGTCATCTTTGGGCAAGCGCGTGAGCAACTACGGTAGTAGGACGGACGTTGGGTTCTGGTAGCGGGAGCATTGGAATACTGGTGACACTTTTGGATTCTGGGGAGTTTTGCTCAAAATATTCTAGATTGCGGTTTGGATACCTGCAGTATACAAGAAAGAAACCTTAACAAACACCGTTTTATCACTTCAGTTATCCCGTTTCATCCCGCCACGCAATATCTCCCAATGAGTTGTCCGTCTTCTCGAGATGAAGTCATTGTGCCTCGACTGTCTGTTTAGAAAAAGACAAAATCATCTTCCTTCCAGCCCATTCCTGAGAATATCTCCTTGACACTCTTCTCCATCGGACCAGGCCCACATACAAGTACCAGCTCATCGCCCTCTCTATTGTTGGCGAGCTGGCCTATGTCTTTCTCGCACAACGCCTTGTTCACGCGACCAGTCACTCCCGTCCATGACGGTGATGGATTAGTGAGAGCATGTACGATGCGACACCTCTCAGGGTTAGCTGAAGCTATCTCATCGAGCTCTGTCTTGCAGAGAATGTCTTCCTCAGCACGGTTGCCGTCAAATACGAGACAGGGTGTTGGGTCAGTGGGATCGCGCATCACGGCGCGGAGGACCTGACGGATCGGAGTGATGCCAGATCCGCCGCAGACCATGATGAAGCGGCGGACACGACGCTCCTTGCCGCCGATGGAGCAGAGTCCACCGCCGAGGTACTCGAACTTGCCGACGGGGCCCTTGAACTCGACAAAGTGGCCGAGCGGGAGAGCATCTAGAGCCTGCGTCATGACGCCGCCCTTGCGTTCGGGAGTGTCATAGTAGATCTTGATGAGAACATCCAAACGTCCCTTCTCCGAGCCGTCTGAGTAGGGTGTGTAGGCGCGGATGATTGCCTCGCGGGTCGCCGGATCACGGAGGCGCACCATCAGATGCTGACCAGTAGGGAGGCCAATCTCCTGGTTATCATGGTTGAGCTTGAAGGTGAAGATCTTCGTGTCGGACGATACGGCCGTCTTGCGCTCCAGGATGGCCTTGCTCCACGTCTTGGACTGGAGGAAGACGGGGCGTGTCAGATCCTCTTCTGTCGAGTCTTCACCACTGAGGGCGGCACGCGAGGCTTCGTCAAGGGTGCCGATGTGGTAGGTAGGCATCATGGCCTTGGCATTTTCGCTATCTAAGAGTATTGTTAGTAAGTGAAGTTGTATGTGATACTCAAGAAACTTACGAATAGTCATGAATTCTTCAGTCACATCTTGCCCAGCAGCACCAAAGATGGACGCCGCACCACCGGGATGGCCTTCCAAGAAAGGTGTCCCGTCAAACACTTCGCCGTTGACGACAAACCAAGGATCAACCTCGCCATCGTGCTGCTTGAGCTCAGCGGCTGTGATCTTGCGGTCAACCTTGGGGTCGGTCAAGCAGATCTCCTTTTCAGGCTCCTGCTCGACAGCATCTTCTACTTCACCAGAGACCTTTTCGCCCCAGAAGCCGTTGGCGAGGTTCCCGCCGGCCTTTTTGACACGGTCCATCCAGCCTCCTGGCATCAAGGCCGGTTGTGTAGGGTGCTCGAACCGGAGTGAGTGGGCTTCCTTGTGGATGACGACGCGGAACCAGGGGTTGTTCATCATGCCCAGGACGCTCCAGTACATGTCACGAGGTTGGACCATCATGGATTCATCCATAGCCCTGATCATGATATCGTCTGCCTCACGGAGCTCGTCGATGGGAATGTCAAGTTCCCAGAAGCACCAGCAGAAACACGTCTCACGCCACCACATGTCGACTCGTCCACCATATAGAGTATCTCCTTCTGGCGCAAATCGGTAATCGTCTTCGGGATATCGAACGGTGGCTAGCCGCCATGACTTGCCCTTATCAAGAGTGACTTCTGCCCTAGTGACACGCTTTCCACCCCCGGCATAGGCGTATCCTCGCACTTTGTAACTTGTCGGGGCGTCCAGAAACGGGACAGTCTCGTCATGGGCGGGATAACATATGGCGCTGTTCGTGTTGAGGTCGTAAATGGCATACTTCTCATCCTTCCACACATCGGGCAAGTCGGCACTGGCTTCAGGTGTGATCATTGT